GCATCAGGCTGAACTTGTGCTCAGGGACTCCCACAGTGGGAACATCAAGGCCAGGAGTCTGATGACGGCAGGCCTGGGGGAAGAAGGCCTTGGCTTGGCTTTCTTCTGTGCAGCTGATGGGTACTGAGCACTTGCTGGGTATCGGGCCCTGTGGTAGGCCCTGGGACACACTAGTGAATGAGGTAGATGGGGTTCCTCCCCTTTGGGAATCATGGGAACTACACTTGTGAAAAGGTCATTACAGTACGCACAGCTTGACAAGTGCTGTGAAGGAGACCCCGGGACGCAGAGGCGTGGGAGAGAACTCACAGGAAAGGGGCCTGTCAGCCAAGCCCCGGAGGAGCTGGTCGCACGGAAGAGGGTGGTGCTGGGCAGGCGGAAGGCCAGAGGAAAGGGACTCTGAGGTGACGCTTGGTATGGTTGGTGGGGGAGTGCAGCAGGGCGTGGGGGATCAATGAGCTCTGGGAAGAGATGGAGCTGGACAGGTAGCTGGGCAGCGTGGGGCCCTGAGCCTTCTGCCCCTCCAAGTGCAGGGGCAAGACTGTATTCTAAGAGCAGTGGGAGGGGCATTGAATGGGGCCTCTCAGCGGGGAGGAATGTCAGGATGCATGTATTCATATTTTGAAAAAGCTTCCTCTAACTGAAGATAGGATACAGCGTGTAGGAGACAGGACGGTGGCTGGGGCTAGTGGGGGCAGGGCGGTGGGCCTCCTTGGAGCCTATGTTGGTGTAGCATTGACAGGTTGTGATGATGGACTGAATATGAAGCGTGAAGGAAACGGAGGCACCTGGGATCCTGGCCTAGCCAACCACGGTGGGTGTGTGCGCTGTCTATTGAGACAGAGCCAGGAGGGAGTGCTACAGGTGGGGGGACATGGGAACATGGTTCTGGGCAAGTGGGGTATGAGGTGTCTGAAGACCACCAGGGGAGCTGCTGAGGGGACAGCTGGATGTATAGCAGAGAGGACATAGCTGGAGAGAGAGTGATGGGGAACCATCAACCTCCAGGTGAAAAGTCAGGCCTTGTGCAGGGGGAGCTCACCCAGCCGAAGATGTGAGGCGGCAAGAGTGCAGGTTGGAACTTCGGGAGTGCCCGCATGGGAAGGGGTGGCCAAAGAAGGGGCTTGCAAAGAAGACCCAGTCAGGCGAGAACGCTAAGCAGCTGCCTCCGGAAGGCGAGCAAGAGGGCAGGCAGGACGAGACAACTGTCCTTTGGACTGAGGAAACTGTGACCTTGGCAAGGACAGTCCCAGGAGAGCTGGGCTGCAGTGAGCTCAGGAGTGGGGGTGGTGAGGGCAGGGACGGCCCTTTCCACACTTGGGCTGAGAGGGGAAGCAGAGGCAGGAGTAGCTGGAGGGGGTTGGGGTCCAGGGGAGCTTTGGTGTTGGTTGGTTGTGATGGGAAAGAACCGAGTTTATGTTCATGGTGGTAGAATGTGCCAGAAGAGGGAGGCCATGAAGCTGCTGGGGAAGTAGTGGGGCCTTACAGGGTAGGGCCTCTGCACAGGAAGGAGAGGGTGACCCTCAGCTGTTGCGGGGTTGGCCGCAGGTGGGAGGGGTGTCCAGCCCACACTGGACAGAGCCCCATGCCTGCCCCTAGACTGGGCCCCTTGGAAAGCACAAAGCAGCACAGACCCCAGCACCAGCCTTCAAGAAGCAGAGAAGTCACAGGCTCCAGACTGTCCACGCAGGACTGCGTTCAAGTCCTGGGGCCCCTCAGTGGCCATCCTCCTCCATATCTCCATGACGCTGACCCTTCTGGCCTCGGCCTCCTCTAAATCACATTCTCTCCTGGTTCCCCACCAGGAGATCTCTGTTTGGGGTTTCAGGTACCATCTTTCTGCCCACTCGTACTTTGGGGCGCTTCCCAGGCTTTTGTCCTCTGCTTGTTTTCATACCTTTTCTTGAGTGGTCCTCTTCCTCCTCACACATCTACATGTCCCGTGCTGAGTCCTGCAGATTTCCGGCTGTGTGCCGGACATTTCTTCAAGTCTTTCCCATGGGCCCCTCCCACTCGGCAGTTAAAGACTAGTCCTGCCTCACTTCCCTCCAAGCCTGCAGTGATACTGCTTGAGCTATCCAAGTTGAAACCTTGGGACCTTTGTTTCTCCATCATTGTCACCCCTGCCTATCCAGATGGCTGCCAAGGCCTGTGGATTCTAAGCCCGAAAAGCCTCTTAACTTCCTGTCCTATAACATGTGCCTTGTGCCTAGACTCTAAGTCTGTCCTCCTCCAGACCACTCCCCATGGTGCCAGAGAAGCATCTTCTGTTTGAGACTTTATCTTTAAGACAACTTTGACCTAGTCTAAACTTAGCATGGCATTCAAGGCTGATGGTGATCAAGCCTGTCCTGCCGTCTGACCTCATCTGCTCTGACCCACCAAACAGTCCAGGCCTTTGAACATCCCTAAGGTCCCTGCCTGGGGTCCTCCCTTCCTGCCTCCAGCTCTCACAGTCCTCCCTGGCCCCTCCCAACCCAGGCTTCTCCCTTGTGCTTCCCAGCAGGTTGTGCATACTTCCCATGGTAGACAGACCTCCCCCACCCCCACCAAGTCAAGGCACCTCCCCAAAGACTCAGACAGAGGCCTTTCTCTGTGTGCGTGTGTGTCTCCATTTGGGAAGACTATGCGTGGTGTAAGCTTGCCATGAAGGAAGAAGAACAGAGAGCAGCTACAGTAGATGGGCTCTCGTGCCTGCTTCTGAGTTGGCTTGAGTGTAAAGTGAAGCCCAGATATGGTAGAAGTCAGAGTGGCTGTGGGCCAGTGTGCAAGGGACCGCACGGCACCCACCACAGCAGTGGGGTGAAGTGAAGGAGAACGCTGAGAGGCGCCATCGTGGCTGGAAGTTGGAGGGGAGAGGATGACATGGACCCGCCAAGCAGGACTGCATGGAGGTATCCAGGGGGTGACGGAACCTCCAGTGCAAAGAGGAGACTAAGCCATTCTCACGTCTTTCTTCTGTAGCTGGGAAAAGGGCACCCCATCTCAGACTGGGTCCCAGGGCACAGAAGGACACAGGAATTAAAATCCAGGTGTGGGGAGATGGCTTGGGTCCAGGAGGCCTACTGCATGAGTGTGAACCGCTGTCACTGGGAAACAGACATCCCTTGTGTGCCATAGGGCGCTCTTCATAAGAACAAAAGGAATCATTTCTCCCACCACCCGCCATGGCCTTCAGCTCCTCCCTTGAATACAAGATGGTGCTTTGCCCTAGATCAGGGGGAAAGCTGGCTCCCCAACCTGAGGATTGGGCGCCTGACACTGGTCGGTCAGGGCCTGGAAGGGAAAGAAAGGGTGGTTTAGACAACTCGAGAGGCATCAGTTGGCCAAAGCTGAGGTGACAAAAAACAGGATCCACCTGTATGTACTCAAGGCCGTGGACAGTGGTCCATGTGTGAGAACGTGTGTGTTTGTGAGTATGAGACTGTATGGTGGGGCGTGTGTGTGTGAGTGTGTGTGAGTGTGTGTGAGTGCATGTCAGTGTGTGACTGTGAGCCAGTATGCGAGTGTGAGTGTGTGTAGGTGTGTGAGTATATGTGAGAGTGTGTTTGTCTGAGTGTGAGGTAGGGAGGCGGTGTGTGTGAGTGCGCGTGTCTGTGATGGTGATCACTCTGATGCCGCCTGCCGGCCAACTCTGACAGCTCCCCCTTTCAAGCCCATCCTGTGATGTCCTCTCAGCGGCAAGCTGATGGCCCCTGCAGCGCAGCATTGGGTCCCAGCCACTGTCACTTCCTCGTAATCCCCCAGCCACCTCCCTGCCCCTCTGCGCCTGCCCCCAGAGTCTGAGCCCCAAACCTTTGGGCATGTGGTGGGGGGTGGGGGTAATGGGGGCACTAGCAGGCCTCTCGTTAGGTGTCAGACACTTGCTCAGCAGGCCAGGAGGCCACACCTCCCCTAAGGCAGCCATGCCATCAGACCCCCAAGCCTCGGGAGACTGAAGGCTCTTCGGAAATTATGCCAGGATTCCCTCCCTGGGTCCCTCCACCATCGCAGCCTTCCCCACCCAGGCAGGAGGCTTGTATATCCATAGCATTAGACCAAGAAGGCGTTTTGGTGAGGATAGTGCTGAGGGAGCCTCGTGGGTTTCCTTCTAATTGGACATAATAGCATTCTGATTCAGGTCCAAGAGTGTCAGTGGCCCTGAGGCCCAGCATGTGGGCCGGCGCCCCAGGAGGATCCTGAAAGCTGTTAGCACTTCCTACTATGATCTCAAATGGTCCCTGGAGGCCATGTGAGAGGTGAGATGGCTGGAATCTGGGTCCAGAGAGCTTCCAGCTAGGCAGGAGGTAGGTGGGGGAGAGAGTGCCGGGCTCCTGGTTTCCACACTCTGAGGACAGACAAATGATGGCCGTCCCTCATACCTCCCCTCACACGGGCATCTGCGTGGCTTCCTAGCGTACTGTTCAGCGCTTCTCGCCCTTTGTGGGAGGTGGACAGGCTTTGGGGCCGGCAGGTTCCGATCCCAGTTCTGTCCCTTTGGCTGTGGGAGCCACGTGCTCTTACGGGCTCTTCCTCGTGATTGTGACTTAATTCAGGGGAAGCGCCCGCACAGACTGAGCACTCGGTAAATAGTAGCTGCTAGAGCTGTGGCTGTTACCTTCTTCTATGACTCTCTGTTACTCTGGTGGCCCAGTGGCTGTTCTTTTGTGGGAAGAAGATGGTGCCAAGATGGCTCTGGAGCAGAAGCCCTCTGTAAAATTGTGCTTCATTTCCCTGGCAGGAAGCACCAGGGTCTGCTGCCTCGGGGCGGGAGAAAGGAGGGGGCAGCTCCCTATGTCTGAGGGGCAGGGCAGGTGCAGGGGTCCATGGTGGATCCCGAGGGCAGCTTACCCCCACCCATCCACCCACCCAGCGTGGTTTTCTCTGGTTCCGCGTCCTCCTCTCCCAGCGTCTGTAACGGGCCGGATGCAGCTAGGAAGCGCGTGCATCTTCTGAGGTGGGGACCTGCCTCTTCTCCTCCTTTTTTTTTTTTCCTTTACAATGACGCCTGTTGCTCATAGGTACAAATCAAACGAAGAGTATGTATATGTGCGAGGCCGCGGCCGAGGGAAATATGTTTGTGAGGAGTGTGGAATTCGCTGCAAGAAGCCCAGCATGCTGAAGAAACACATCCGCACCCACACTGACGTCCGGCCCTATGTGTGCAAGCACTGTCACTTTGCTTTTAAAACCAAAGGTAAGAGATAGTCAGCTGGGGTGCTGTCCCCGCTCACTGCGGGGAGCTCCCTTCTGGGAGCCCTAGCACAGAGCTCAGGGGCCCAGGCCTCTCTGCCTGGGGCCTGGGGCACCCCAACTTCCTGGGTTCCCCAGTGGCAGAGCAGCTGGCTCCAGACTGGGCAGTGGCATCCCCTGGCTGCCCCAGCCCATCTTCTTGGACCCCACACGGCCCCTGCGCCTGCGCACTTCCCTCCACCGCCTGGCGGCACTCTTGCACAGTTCCTGGTTTTGATTTGATCTCATCATCCCTCCTTTTGCATGTCTCCTTAGTCCTTTATCCACTGATCTGATGAGCTCCAGCATCCCACTTGTCACTGCCACTCTTGCATTTGGAAGTCCATTCCACTCTGAGCCACTTAACACAATCGCATGGTCACTTCTCATGCCCGAGTCCGCCCTGCCTCCACCACGCCTCACCACTCAGACCATGTTTCTGCTCTGCCCGGCTTCTCTGCAGCTCTAGGCACAGGGCCCAGCTCCCTCCAACCCAGACTGGCCCCCTGGCCACACGCCACAGCAGGGTCAGCTCAGGCTCTGGCAGTCACCTGTGAAAGAAAGAAGGACTGGCTGTTGAGGGTAGGCATCCCAGATCGCTGTGGTGGGAGACGGTGGCAGCCTGGCCTGCTGCAGCCGCCCAGGACCCTGGTGTGAACGTGTGGGGCTGAGTCCATGAGGCTGAGATCGGCTCCTCTGCTCATTCTGTTGACTGTTCCTACAGAACAGGCAGGGAAGACGTTGCGGCTTGCTCATTGCTCCCTGGTAGCTGAGCAGACCGAGATGACTCGGGGGGAAGGCCTGAGCGTCTCAACACCCTTGGTGGCTTCAGCCTCTTGTGCTTCGCAGATTCTTGGGTCAGAGTTTGGGCAGGAGGGTCCTGCTTTCTCCTTTGAGGGAGTCGGTGGCTTCCGCATTGGCCCCCACTGGAGCCGTTTTTCAGTGGACGGAAGTCGAGAGCACATCCCCCTTTGCTACTTGTTGACCTCCTTTCTGTTGGTAACGCTGTGAGTGAGGCCAGGCAGCAGCGCTGAGGGCCCGTGCAGTCTCTCAGCCTTCTCACTTCCTTCTCCTCTGTCTCTCTGTATTAGTCAGGGGGGTTGTTTAGCACGTCCCCTGGTCATGGCCTCCTCTCTGACCAGGTGCCCATCTCCCAACTCCCTTAACTGGCCCCTGCCCTCTTCTGTCCCTTCGCCATCGTCTTCAAGTGGAGCTCACACTTTCCCACCAAGGTTTTGGTTTGAATGGAGGTGCCCACCCTCCCACTTCCTTTTCCTCCCCCTCTTCTCTCTTGGTGTCTCATAAACAATGTTACAAAAGGTGCCAGGAGAGGGCCGATGGGCCTGGAGCGCTGCCATGTCCAGGGCAGCTCACTTGACATGCCTCAGCATGGAACATGGGTTCTGTCCCCTGTGCGTCCCCTACACCCCCTCTTCCTCTGTCCTCAGGCGGCCAGTTGGGACTTTATGGAGGAGAGAGATGGGAATCAGTAACTGACAGTTTAAATAATGGTCTTTGACTCTGAATGCCAAATACCTCTTGTCTGAACCCCCCTTGAAAGTGAAGAAAGTGGGTCCCAAAAACCGGAACTGAATGCTAAAGCTAGAGTTATAACCAGAACCCGAATGCTGCCTCACAGGCATCACCCCATCGTTTTCCTCTCTGTGAGCACTTCCCCCCTTCTCTGGACGGAGTGGCAAAATCAGGTGGTCAATCAGGAGGCCTCCAGGGTGGGTCACAACTGCTGCCCATGTTCCCAGGGTGTGTCCAGGGCACGACACGGTTCCATTCTCGGTGTGAGGAGCCCTCCCAGTCCTGAGAGTGCCTCCCAGCCCAGGGCCCTGCGAAGCTGCCCACCACCTGGGGCCCTGCTGGCTGAGTTCCCAGCCAGAGCAGTCTCCCCTAGAGGGCCCTATTCAGCTCCCCCTGCCTTTGTTGAGAGAAAAGGCTGGGTCTTTTTTGGCCAGGTCTGAGACAGGCCTGGGCCCCTGGCAGGAGCGCCCCTTTTCTGAGTGATGCCTGTGCTGGAAGCCATGTTGAGTCTATCAACAGCCCCTTTCTGGGTCCTCTGAGCCAGGACAGAACCGTGAAGGGTACAGAGTGCATCACCGGAGCAGAGGGGCTGCAGACCCTTGGCATGCCCTGGGGTGTGGAACCCTGGGTGCGCAGGCTGTGTCCCACGCTGCCCTGCAGGCTCAGCCCAGGAGGCTTTGCTCTCACCAGCGATCAGGGAGTGTGCTGAGCCCTCCTCAAAAGCTCATAGGGACTTCCAGAACACAACACCTTCCAGAGCCAAAGCAGTGAGCGAATTGGACATGGTGGAATCTCAAACTCCGTGACAGCAGAGAGGGGCTGGTTGGGAGTGGGGCAGGTTGAAGCAGAAAAAGCACGCTCTTAGAGCTCTCTGCACACTTGGCAGTCGGGGGAGGGGCAGGACACTGTTCCTCCCTGGGTCACGTGTCTTCCCGGAGCGGTGGGCCCTTCACTCATCACTCAGATACCACAGGCCCCCTCCTCTAACAGCTCGCAGCCCCCCGGCTACCTCCATCTCTCCTTCCACAGCCAGACTATGAGAGCTGAAGCTGGGCCTGGTGGGCCTCGGGGTCCTCCGTCACCACCGCCTGGCTGCTCCCGGGCCTGGGGGGCCCTTCTTGTCCGTCTCTGTCTGCCTGTCTGTGTCTCCGTCTCTGTGTTAGACATTGTGGCAGCAGCTTGGGCCCCCGGGTACTAACTGAATGGTGTCTCAGTGGGCGGGGCCAGGAAAGGCCCACCGGGATATCCCTGTGGAGGTCTGGGGGTCCAATTTCCTCTTCTTAGATGGTTCCCAGAGTCCAAAGGGGTGGCTTGCACCGATCGCCTCAGGGAACAGACATGACAATTGTGGGAAGGCCTCATGTCCATCAGGCCACAGGGGCAGAGGGAGGGCGGTTGGTCAAAACCAAACAAGGCAGACAGGGTCATTGGCTGATGCTCTTAGCGAAAGTTCCGCCTCTCTTCCAGACTCCCATCATTTTCCATCCAGTTGCCTTTCCTCCATTCCAGGACTGTCGAGTTTTAGAGCAAGGGGCGGGGGGACAACTAAGAGAAGCTGAGGACTCTGCATGGCAAGCTGAGGCTCTGCCCGTCAAGAGAGAAATGATATCCAGGCTGAAAACAAGGCCTGCGGCCATTTGGTACACCTCCCTTAATACACAGAGGAGGAGACAGGCCCAGGAGGGCAAGTCAGAGAGGGTGCCGGATAACACTCAGGGCTGCTCATCCGAAGTTCACTCCTGTAACCCACACAGCCTATCCAGGCAAAGTCACCTCAAACTGCCTGACTCCCTGCAGACTCCAGTGGCAGGGGGAGAGGAGAAGCAGGCCTCCAGGGACTGTCTGGTACCTGCCCCTGGGAGCCCCTGAGTCCACACTAAAGGGCAAAGCCATTTGCATCAACAGCATCATCTCAGCATCTCTCTCCTCCACATCCAGCATGGCATATGGCGGAGTCTCCCCCCCATACCACCCCCTCCCCGTGCTCAATAAAGAGTGATTGTCATGTGAAGGGCGGGGGGGTCCATGGTATGGGAAGGAAGGAGGTTCCAGGTGGGAAGTATCTGCTCTCTGCCAGGCGTACTTTCCTGCCATTCTACATGCACTATCTCATCAACTGACCAGCGACCCTGAGAGGTGGGTACTTCTTTAGTGTTACAGAAACTGGGGCTCAGAAGTTAAGAAACTTGGCTGAGAGCACACAGCTAGGAAGTGGCAGAGCCCAAACTGAAACCCAAGGCCATCAAGCTCCTAGACCATCGCGGTTCCCTTCGGCCATGTGGAGCAAACAAGGCCCCTGGATTCCCGAGACCCGGTTCTAGACGCGGCTCTGTCCCAATGAGCCGGTGTGGCCTTAGCTGGTTGGTTCACTGTGTTGGTCAACAGGAGCCCTCCCATGGCATCCCAGCAGCTGAGACCATCTATAATCTTGTCTAATGGTGTCATCAGCACGACAGTCCAGCATTAGAGCAGAGGCCTGGTGGGGTTGGACTACATGGTCTGTGAGGTTCCTTCCAAGACTTTGCTTCTGTGATGAGAAGAGCATTTCCCACAGGCGGCTATTGTGCACCCATTTTGTGCTCGGCATCTAACTTGATTGAAAAGAGACCCAAACCTTCCAGGTAGAACATGTACAACAGATAACATCATAGCCAGAATTCACAATGTCCTTAGTCCTCTGTGCTCTGGGGAATTCAGGAGACAGTTGGTATCTCTGGCCCATGGAAGACCCCAGCTGCTTTTACCACCCCTCCATGTCCTACTCAGACTTTGTCTGCCCACAATAGTGAGGGCAGAGGCCCATAATGTGGGGTAGGGGCCTTTGGGGACCCTTTGGCCCCAGGATGACTCTAGAAGTTATGACTCTGCTCCTCCTTTGGCTGGGAGTAGAAGATCCAAGTGTATGTGCAGTTATAGGAGGAAAAGCAGAGAGGGAGGAGACAGTCGTGGACGAGGACTAAAGGGAGGGAAGAAGAAAGAAACAGCTCCTCTTCCATCCCGGCTGCCCTTGACCTGCACACCTCAGGGAATTCCAGCTTAAGGTCCCCATAACCCTTTTAGCAAAACCCTAAAGTGCCTTAAAATTCTCAGAATGATTAAGAAGCACCCCTTGGTTCATCCGTGGGCTCTCTCTCTATTCACCTATCCATTCATCATCCCTCCTTCCATTTATCCATTTATCCCATCCTTTCATCTAATAGTTTGTCTTCCTATCCATATATCTTCCCATTTATTTTCTCATCCTATCTGGTCCTCTCCCCTCACATTTGTCCCCCCACCAACCCATCCTTCCATCTACCTTCCATTCCTTTATCCTCGTGCCTGTCAGGCCTCCCATGCATGTATGCATCCATTCACTCATCCAACCAGCCATTCTTCTATTCATCTATGTCTCTCTCCTCCTATCTAGTTCTCCATCCTCCCATCTGTTTATTGACCCTTTTTCCATCTATCCTTTCATTTATGTTTTCATCTAATCATTTATCCCCCATCTGTCTATCCATTTGCTTATCTAATCATCCAGTGTCCCATCCATCTCTCCCTCTTCTTCCTGTCCTTCCCTCACTCCATATTTCCTCTTATCCACTTATCAATCCATCCATCCATCCATCCATCCATCCATCCATCCATCCATCCACCAGTCTATGCATCTGTTCAAGTATCCATTCTTCTCTCTTCCATCCATCCATTCAAACTTACCAATTAATAAGATTAGTGAGACAGAGCACCTAACTCAGGGAACTTGTGGTTATTACATGAACAACCATATGGAAATGTAGCAAACCACAGAGCAACAGTGAGCATGTCACAGTTTGGAGGTGACTCCTGGGCCCAAAGGAGCAGCGTGAGGCACCGGGCCTGCATCCTCCCGGGGCAGCTGCGGGTGCTCAGCCTCTCCTTCACAGAGCACTCCTGCCTGCAGAGCTTTGTGGCCTGTGACGTGCTGAACACATGCTGGGGAGAACTGAAGGTGCTGCTACCTTTACCCTGGTTACACAGAGCTGCTGCCCCTGTTCATCAGCTGTGGGGCTGGGCTGACCACTTGGGTCAGAGTCAGCCACCCCGCCCCCCACCCCTGAGGGCTTCATAGGCATGAAGTAGGCCAAGCCGTTGCCCAGCCTTCCCTGCACGTATGCCACCTGTGTCTGCACCACACAGTGACCTGGGGGAAATTGAGGCCCAGACATTACTTCTCTAAGGAAGTCAAGGCTTGGGCCCCAGCCTCATGGCTCCCAGGTCCCTGCCCAGCAGAATCCCCTACACCTCTGCTCTCTCTCCATTTCTAATAGTAACTTTGTCCAGATTCCCCTTGCCAAACCCTAAGATTCTTCCCTGTGGGGTGCCCTGGAAGTGTGCTCAGCCAGAAGGGCATCCTCAGTACCCAACCACCATATTAGTTCATGGGGGCCCCGCTGTCATCCAGCATTTGAGACAGCCAATAATCCTGTTTGATGAGCATCACCAGCTCCTGGGCCTAGAGTTAAATCAAAAGCAGGAAAAACTTATCACACATGAGTTGTCTTTTATTTTCTTTCTTTGGTTTTTTTTCCAGCATTTCACCTCCTCATTGTGCCCTGTGTCCCCTCACTGCACCCCCACCCAACCCCTTGAACGGTGGCTGTGGCTGCATGTCCCAGCCTGAGTACCTGGGCAGGGGGATGTCCGGGCCCCTGCCCAACCCCTGCAGCAGGCAGGGTCTCAACCGGAGTGAGAAGCCATGGCCTGCCAGTCAGGCCCTGCCTTGTCATCATGCCCCAGGCCCGCCCTGGCCCCTGCCCTCCAGCCAAGCCTGAGTCCGTTCTCATTTCTTTCCAGGGAATCTGACTAAGCACATGAAGTCGAAGGCCCACAGCAAAAAGTGCCAAGAGACGGGGGTGCTGGAGGAGCTGGAAGCCGAAGAAGGTAACAAATTGCCAACTTCCCTGCCCCCTCCTCCCCATCTCCCCTTCTCCTCCTCTTCTCCCGGCTCTTCTACCTGACCCCACCCTGCCCTTCCTTTATGTCCTCATCTCCCCTGCTCCCGCTCCTCCTTTCCCTCCCTTCCCTCTTCCATGCCCTCTCCTCCAGTTTTCCCAACTACTTGAAGACAAAGGTTAAATTCACAGAATGACCGCCCGCCCCCCCCATACACTAATAGTAATGCTGTGCAGCCGTAGCAATGTGCATTATGGTCTACCACGAAGGTGGAGCACCTGGCACCCCGTGGGTGCTCCGTGAATGTCTACTGAATAAATTAATACAGGAGTCATTCTAGTCGACATTGACTGAGCACTCATTATGTGTCAGGTATGTCCTAAACACGTGCCATGAATTATCTCAGCAAATCCTCACCATGACGCTGTGAGGTGTGCACTTTATATGCGCCAAGCCCACACTCAAACCTGCACACTCGGGGCAGTGGCCTGACCCCTGGGCTTAGAGCTGGAGGCCTTCAGGAGACCCAAAGCCAGACGCGACAGCCCCTTGTTGCCTCCCAACCCCATCCCACAAACATACATAGTCTCCCATCAGCAAGAAGCACATTATTAGAGCCAATTTCTGAAGAGACAGGGCAAAGGTGAGTCTAAGGCAATGGGTCTGGCTGGACACTGCCCGGCCTCAGCATCCAGGAAGAAGGCCAGAGGGGCCTTGGCAGGAGCACGGGCAGGCAGTGCCCCACAGCGGGATGGGGAAGGGGGGCGCAGAGGCACTCCTCCTGCACCCAGCAAACCTTTGACCCGATTCCCTAAAATCAGAACTGGGAGAGAGAGAGAGAACGAGAGAGAGAGAGAGAGAGAGAGAGAGAGACAGAAAGAAAGAAAGAAAGGGAGAAAGAGAGACTGAGAGACTTGTTCTGCTTTTGCTTTTGCTTTTCTGATTTGAGGATATATTTGCAGGCTTACAAAAGAGTTAGATCATATTTCCTTTTAGATGAAATAAATCATTTTTATCAAACTGAACACAATGAATTTAGGGCTGTTTCCCCCAAAACAAGGAAGTGGAGCTACCACGCTTATCAAGAATGTAGATGAAGTCATTCACAGGTGTCTCACTGAGTCCTCACAACTGGTGGTAGAAACTTGTGTTACCTCTTTTAAGCTGAGGCAAGAAAACTCAGACAGGTAAAGGCATTTCCCAAGGTCACAAATAAATGTCGACTCCACACCATCCCAGTGCCTGGTGGGCTGGGCGGGAACCTGAGCCCTCCCTGGGTGGATGTCACCACACCAGAGATCCACTGTGCGACCCTGGGCTGGTCCCTGCTTCTCCCAATGAGGCAAAAAGGACGAAATCAATGCATTCATTACAGAAGTAATTTCAAGCCCTGTTCTAGGTGCTGGGTATTTCTCAGTGAAGAAAACATAGGTCCTGTCGTCACGAAGCCTACTTTCTAAAGGGGAGTCGGGCCAAGAGCAAATGTGTAACAGGGCCGGGCAATGAGTATGAAGCAAAACAATACAAGTAAGGGGATGGAAGTGTGGGGAGGTGCCTCTCTGTTCAGGTGGTATGAAGACAGGGTATGGGGAAGGGCTCTCCCTGCAGAGGGAACAGCAGGTGTAAAGACTCTGAGGACCAGAGTGGGGGGAGATGCGGTCAGGAATGGGGCCATCAAGGTCAAGAGATGGACTTGGCTGTTGGGTAGAGGGACCTCCTATGACTTCCCATGACCCTGGCTGTGTGCAGAGGGCAGCCGGGACGGGGGACGGCTGGAGGCAGTGATCTCGGCTGAGCTACGTTGACTTGGACACAGTGGGCTGAGTGGAGGTGGGGAGAAGTGGTCGGATTCTGAATACTCTGACCTCAACTGTGAGATGCTTGCAATGTTGACTGTCTGCTGAGGTCCTGGGTACCTGACGTGACAATAGCTAAGGTTTATCAGGTACTTACTCTGCGTCATACCCTCACAATCCTCCCAACAGCTTCACAGGGTGGCTTTTATTACTCTTACCCCCATTTTACAGATGAGGAAAATGAACACAGAGAAAGTACATTACCAACATCATACAGCAAGGAAGAGGGGGAGCTGAGATTTTGCTGACACGTGGGTGGGGGTAGATGAGAAAAAAGGAGCCAAGGATGAGTCCGAGGTTTACGGCCTAAGAAAATGGAAGGATGGACTTGCCACTTCCCACGATTAGGAAGATTTCGGAAGGAGCATGTGTTAGACACAGCCTAGGAACGACCGCCTCCGGGTGGCCAGGCCCAGGCCGCAGCCCCGCCCCTGGTGGCGAGGAGGTTAAGCACCAGCGCCACCGTGTGGCCAGATCCCGTGCGCGCCCTCGCGTTCTTCATTCCGTATCCGTGGTCCCAGACCATGGAGGCGGGGATCTGACCCTTGGCTTCCATTACCCTGCAACAGGTGTCTAAGCGGGGCTGCCGCCCTGCTCTAGGCTTCAACTTCCTCATCCTTAAAGAGGATCTTTAGGAGCTTCCCTACTGGATATCAGGAGATGCAGATCCTGACTCCCTCACTAGAAGTACTACTCCTCTCACCTCAACTGTGAGATGCTTGCAATGTTGACTGTCTGCTGAGGTCCTGGGTACCTGACGTGACAAGAGCTAAGGTTTATCGGGCACTTACTCTGTGTCATACCCTCACAATCCTCCCAACAGCTTCACAGGGTGGCTTTTATTACAGATGAGGAAAATGAACGCAGAGAAAGTACATTACCAACATCATACAGCAGGGAAGAGGGGGAGCTGAGTCGTGACTCAGCCACTACCCACTGGTGATCATGGGGAAGGCCCTCTTGCTCCCTCTGGGCCTGGGTTTCCCCATGTATAAATGATGGATGAGGACAGGTGAACTCCTGAGCCTGAAGCAGGCCTCCACTAAATTCTTAGGCAGGGAAGAAAATGCCTGGGGCAAAATTGCAAAGTGTTTTTTTTCATCCTACCCCCCACCCATATCCCTACCCCCTTCCCAATCCCAGATCCCTTCCCCCCTCTCATTACCGTGCTCGCAGCTGCCATGAGACCCGCCCTTGGCTCCTTGGCGCTCCCTTCACCTGCTTGCCCCAGCTCTACCCCATAGTTTTTTACCTATGTCCTCCCGAATACCCACTGTCATTCATTTCATGCACCTTATTGAGCTATTTGGGGGCACTCTCTGCGTTTTGAGCTATTTGGGGGCACTCTCTGCGTTTTCTGGCCCCTGGCCATCTTGGCATGGTGGGATTCGAAAGCCTGCTTGCACCTGTGGCCTGAGTCAGCTTGTGTGTCCAGTTCTCGTGGTCACTAGTGGAATGGGTGCTGGCATGTCCAGGTGAGGTGGTGGGGCTGAAGATGAGCCTGGAGATGGACCAGCAGGACCCTCAGGAGCCTGCCAGGTGGGCCAAATGTCCCGAATGCTGCCCATTTCAGAGATGCCCAAGTGAGATCTGTGTCATGTTAGAGGTGACCTGGCTGGCTGGGGTCATGACCAGGAGGCCAGAAGCCAGACCAGGAGGCTGGCACTACAGAGCTCGGCTCCCCCACTCCCTGCTGGGAGCAACTTAGGCTCTGCAAAGGCAGCAGGTCCTCTAGACAGAAGTGGCTGAGATGGGTCCCTGCTCTGCAGCCTGAGGCCAGCTTAGCCAAACCCCCAGAGGCCAGGGCCTGCCACCTGCCAGATGCCATTATACCAGCCAGCACCAGACTGGCCATGGTGGCATACATGTGTTTAGACTAACCACAGGTCAGTGCTACTGAACCAGCCAGCATGGCTGCTGTGACCCAGAAGAGTCGATGTCTTCATGACTATTGAGTGATCATAATTATTTGAGCCCTCACTATGTGTTAGACATGCATTTACTCCTAGCAAACCCTGTGAGGTGAGACGATCACACTCATCTGACAAAGGGGGAGACTAAGGCACCACAAGTTATTAGTAGAGCCAGTACCGAAATACTAATAAAATAAAATAAAAAAAAAGAGGCTGTCTTATTTGCTGTGATTCGTTCCCAGCCCCACTACTTACCTTACTTGGGCAGGTTATTTAATCTCTCTCACCTCCGTTTCTTCATCTGTAATGTGAAGATAAGAATAGAGATGACCTCACAGGATTATTTGAGGAGTAAATGAATTAATGCACATGAAGCCCTTAAAACTGAGCCTGGCACGTGGCAGATACAAGGTTTTTGTTCACTGTGATTATTTACAAAGTGTTCCCATGTCTATCATGGCCTCTCAGTAATCTTGTGCCATTGCCATGGCGCTCAGGCTGTTGGCAGATGAGGCCTCTGGGGCTTACAGAGGAGGAGCAACTGGGGCTGGCTGTGACCCCAGGTCTCCTGTGTTTTCCCCGCAGGAACCAGTGACGACCCGTTCCAGGACTCAGAAGGGCGAGAGGGCTCAGAGGCTGTGGCACAGCACCAGTTTTCAGACCTGGAGGACTCGGACTCAGACTCGGACCTGGATGATGACGAGGATGAGGATGAGGAGAGCCAGGATGAGCCATCAGGACCGTCCTCGGAGGCACCCCCACCCAGCGCACCGGCCACGCTGCCAGCAGACTCTTCACCTGTTCAGGGCTGTCAGCCCCCAGATGCCACCTCTGGCAACCAGGCCGCGCAGGGCAGCTCAGTCTCGAAAGCCGAGTACTTGGCAGCTGGAGGTTGCTCCAAGTCCAGCCAAAGCATCCTGTGCCTCCCCCAGCTGGGACCGGCCCCTTCGGGCCCCGTGGAGAAGGACACAAGCTCAGCCCTGAGTGCCAAGGCCTTGTCCCCAAGAAGGCCATGGTCCCCGGGCAAAGAAGCAGGCAGCCGCCCACCACTTGCCCACAAACACTCACTAACCAAGAGCGAGTCATCTCCCCAGCGACATTCACCGGCCGGAGAGCCACAGTTCTCCACCCCAAGCCCACCTGGCTCCCAGACGGGCCCTCCCCCTTGTGGGTCTCCAAGACTCCAGCTGTCTCCTCTCACCTCCCGCACCCTGGGAAGGGAACTGCCCCCTCGAGCACATCTGCTCCCTGAACCCGAGCGGGCCACAGACCCAGGCCCCCCCAGACACTCGCCCACCAGGAGACGGTCTCCAGGCCAGGCCGAGTCACCACCACGGTCAGTGCTGCCAGGGAAGTGGGCCTTGGCTGGGCCGGGCAGCCCCTCAGCTGGCGAGTGCGGCCCAAGCTCCGGGCTGGCCCCGCGGGCTCTCTACCGGCCCACGCCTCTACCTCACAAGCTTCTCGGCAGAAGCCCCGAGACCAGCACCTCCACATGGGTGAGTTCCTGCCCCAGAGTGACTGGGCGCTTCCTCCCTGGTGGGGGGGGGGCAGAGAGGGCAGGGAGGTGGCGCTGTAAGTTCATTCCTCCCTGAGGTAGTAGGCCTGGAGCTAAGTAGCCCTGCCAGCTCAGAGGTCACTGATAACTTAGCAAACATTTATTGGGCACCTCCTGTGCCAGGCGTCATGCCGGGTGCCTGAAGCCAGTTAATTTAGCCTCAAAAGCAGCAGAGCATTGACTCTGGAGCTGGCCTTGGACGCAGATGTAAACACTTGTACCATTCTCCTCCCACCTCATGCCCATCCCCCATGTATTCTTTGAGCAAATGGGAAAGTTTAATCAAAATCATCACATCTCCAGCATAACTGTCACCAGCACACCCTCAGAGACAACACAGCCAACCCCATCCCTGTCAAACCATCAGCACTCTCACTGTCACCATCGCCAACACCATCTCAGCCATCATTACACTCCAGCACACCATTACTGCCACCCCATCAGCTTGGTCAGTGTTGTCACATCAGCACAGTCACCATCATTATTGTCACCACCATCCCTGCCACTGCATCACCATCCAACACCATCACTTTCATCAGTGCTGTCATAACCCCCAGCACTGACAACACCATCATTGTCAACTTACCTTTTCCTTCTAGTACCATTTCTGTCACCATATTGTCATGACCTAGCACCACCCTTTACCACCAGCAGCATTGATACCATCGCTCAGAGATTCAAGCTCCTAGAGATACATGATCTTAGGAGTCTCTCCTTGGTTTTTAATTTTGGGGTCACCTTAAGATTCCTGGTGGTAGGTGAAGGCCAAGAGCCTTGAATGGGAACTCATGTCCAAGGTAAAGTTGGTTCAAGACGCTTTTAGGAACAGGACAGTCAGCAGAACCAAGAGGGAGGGCCAGGCACATGGGGCCTGCAGTGTCCCATCTCACCAGAGCATCCACACGCTCTGCAGATAAGCTTGCTGGCCAGAGGCGAAGCGACCATGGGCCTGACTGTGCTCCTCATCACAGTAGGGCTGGGTACAGCCCATTCCAGGGAGGGCACCAGCACGGAGTGGCGTCACGGGCAGAGGTAGAACTTGCTTCTGGCCTCAGCTCAGCAGGGACTTGCTCTGTGATCTCAGACAGGTCCCCTCTCCGTCTCTCCCATCTAGGCCTCAGGGTGTCGGTGTGTCCAGCGCATAACCTGGCCTTACCCTGTCTTCTTTTCTGACCCCAGCAGAAGGCCGAGTCCCGAAGCCCCTCCTGCTCACCTGGCCCTTCTCATCCTGTCTCCTCTCGACCCTTCTCCGCCCCCCATGACTTCCACGGCCACATCCCGACCCGGACAGAGAACATCTTCAGCCACCTTCCTCTGCACTCGCAGCACTTGGTTCGAGCCCCATGTCCCCTGATTCCCATCGGTGGCATCCAGATGGTGCAGGCGCGGCCCGGGGCCCACCCCACCCTGCTGCCAGGGCCCACGGCGGCCTGGGTCAGTGGCTTCTCCGGGGGTGGCAGCGACCTGACAGGGGCCCGGGAGGCCCAGGAGCGAGGCCGCTGGAGTCCCACTGAGAGCTCATCAGCCTCTGTGTCCCCCGTGGCTAAGGTCTCTAAGTTCACACTGTCCTTGGAGCTGCAGGACAGGAACTATCCCAAGGAGAGGGAGAGGACGAGCGGGGGCCTCGGCAGACCTCCCAGCTGGGAGCCCTGTGTGGCTGAAGTGTCCGCAGAGCCCGTGCCCACGCACAGCCCATGCACTCTGCCCGAGGCCTCCCCCCGGCCACCCCAGGGTCGCCGGGCAGAGTCCTGGAGCCCGCACTTGGAGTCACCACGCACATTGGCCAACCCCGTGGCCTCTGCCTCCCTGCCACTGGACCGCAGCAGTTCTGTAGGCTGCCTGGCAGAGGCGTCCACTTGCTTCCCAGCCCGGAGGAGGAACCTCTCTGGGGAACCCAGGACCAGTCAGGGCTCCCCTGAGCCCTCAGGAAGCGGGGGGCCCGAGGCACCTCCACACCAGCCCGAGGACAGGGGCCCCCTGAGCACTTAGCCTCTCTCTGACCGCTTCAGCACCTGGCTTCCGGTGTTCGGCAACAGACACTTCCAGCCCACTTCCTGGAATCATCTTCCTCTCATGGGCTCCCTCTTCCATCTGTCCATCTGTCCATCTGTCCAGGCAGCTTCTGCTCAGCCCCCGTCAGTTGTATCTTCCCATGTATGCAGTTACCTGTGCCTTTTTCTATACCGTTTGTTGCTTGAAAAGAAACAAAACATACACACACATAAGAAACCCCACGAGGAGTTTGAGGCTGTGAATATTTTGTGCTTTTTTTGGGAAAGGGTGTAGGTGGGGCCTCACCTTCCACCACTGGGGTCAGCAGCCACCCCCCAAGACTGGCAAGAGGTGGCCATCTGCTGAGGGAAAGGGGATGCATTGAGGGAGAAAAATAAAAACAAGGAACTTTCAAAAATATATAATTAAATGTAAAAGCAAGCACTCCTATGTACAGATGTTTATGTCCTATTCATTGCCACTTTATCCCACCCCAGCTAGCAGCCACCCCTCGCTGACAGCAGAAGGGCCCATGGCTCCAGGCAGAGGGACACAGACAGGCAGGGAGATCCCACTTCGCCTCCACAGGTTGGTTCCCACTTTCTTTTCCCAAGAAAAAGAAAATGTTACTTTCTCTAGGATTTCAACGCAACATAATAGACGCAGGTAGAAGGTAGGAACTGGTTGGTTCTCCCAGGGTTCCCAGATACCCAGGTGGTCTGAATCGTGGACACATCCTGGCATTTGACCAGTGGACACACACACCCCCCACACACACCTCTGCACCCCACCTCCAGCCCCTGGCCTGAGAAAGGAGCCCTCACCACCCAGCTCCCGGCTCCTGAGCACCTGACCCAGGCCTTGCTCTTTGGGTCCCAGCCACAGGCTGCCTTCCTTTTCAGAAATTTCCCACAAGGCTGGTGTGGCAGGGCCCAGCCCCTCGGGGTCAAGATCCAAGGTGCATAACCTTGCTATTCCTGAGGCTAGGGCTTGGGAGTACAATGAGCCCTTTTTTTCTCTGTGGCTGGGCTTTTCCAGAGCTTGGCACTGGAAGTTAGCAGGGACCCGTGTCTGCACCTCTTTGAAGCAGGACTGGTTCCCCGTCCCACCCACCACACTGTCAGGCCTCCAGGAGCCTCAGGAAGTACCCAAAACATGACTAGTGGGAACTGCCCAATTCTGTTTATTGGTTTAAATCTCTTAACAAACAAACAAACAAACAAAAAAACTACATATATAAAAATATCTAGAAAGAGAGGATGCTGTTTGATACTTCCCCCAGCCTCCTCACATTCTTTTGGCCTAGAGCAGGGGTCGGCAAACTTTTGAGACGGAACATACCCAAAGAGCTGCAGTTTGCCGACCCCTGGCCTAGAGGATTTTTAATTTTCCTAAGTCATTTGAACTCTCCAAAGTAATCTGTACTAGCCAGCGCCTCCATCCCCATCCCCAACTCCTCCTTTAAAAAGCTGCCCTGCAATTGCTTGGGCAAAAACCTGCTTTGTAAGAAAAATAGTATGACCAGAAACTAAAATCCCAGGTTGAAAAATGCAATTTGAACTTTAGAATGTTTACCCAGGGAGGGGTGGATTTTTCCCTACCCCTCCAGAAATTATTTTCTTTAAGTTTCTACAAAGAGGAGAAAGCACGTGGCTCCCCGACCCACTGGCTGGGTGCTAAGGCCACCTTACAGAGTAGGGTCCTCCCTGGGAGGCCCCCCATCCTCAGCCAGGCTGTAGGGATCCCGTCCGCATAGAGGGCTCCTGGGCCGTTCTCTAGATGGGACGCCATAAGGTGGGGAGGGTTGAGGAGCCTCTGTGAGCTTCCCAGTCGCTGCCATGATTCCGGCCTCCTCCGGCTCAGGGCCTTCCCTTGCGTGGACTCTGCTGAGCGGGCAAACCAGTCACTGGTCCAGTCTCCAGCCAGGTCAACTTATTCATTTTCCTTTGACCTCACTCAGAGCTCAGACAAAATGGGGACTCCAAGGTGCTAGGGGTGCGGTTGGTGAGCAATGCCTGCCTGCCTAACCCAGAGTCTGGGGCTCTCACGTACCCTGGGAGAAGGCCAGCAAGCCAGGCCCTGACCATACTGGCACTGTTCTGGCCTGGCAGGAAGAGGGAAGGAGCCAGGCGCCAGTCACATCCCGGGCCAGAGGCTGGGGATTCCTTCACCCTCGCCTTTCAGTCCTACCCTATGGGGCTGCTCAAGGACAAGAGACTTGGTGTGCTGAGGCCTGGGAGCTGGATAAAGGGCACTGCTTCCGCCCAGGTTTCAAATCTTCCTGGGTGTGATCTAGCCCCAGATCTAAGCACCAGACTGAGCGCTCTGCTGAACTAGCCCCTGACCTTGGGGGTGGCCATGCCCTTCCACCCAGCCCTGCACCCCTAGCTCTCCTGGGCATATTCCCCCTTCCTCCGTCCTCAGCCCACCCACCAAGGTTTCTCTCCTGGAAGGCATAATCCTGGATGGTGTTGCCAGCAGGGGAGAGCCCTCGAGGTCACTTAAGCCACAGGTGGAGGGGACTGAGACCAGAAGTCACTGGAGACCCATTTCTCAATGACAGGGACATGGTGCACACGGGATCTGGCCTAAGGGCTGCTGCCCCACACAGTGCCCAGAGGGATGAAATCAATGCCACCAGCCTGGGTCGTATGTCACTGGGCATAGCTCTAAACCTCTCTGCCAGATTCTATTCCCACTCCCCTGAGCACGAGCCCCAGCCCACATGGGCACCTTCATAATGGAGAAGAAGACTTTTTCATGCCCTCCCCAGGCCCCCTGCCGTGCTCCCGACCACTACCACATTTCTAGTCTGCCTGTGGCGCTCTTGTCCCTAGAGAACGCAGTGCTAACTGGTTGGCACAGACACTTGCGTGCTCTGTGGAAATCTGTGGGGTGGCCATTCCTTGGTATAGGCCCACTCTGGTCCTTGGGTATTGACAGTCGGGGAGGACCAACTTGCCGAGGTTTCAAAGCCAACTCTTGCCATTTATTGGGGATTCCAAGCCGCTTGCCCCCAAGCCCACCCTCCAGGATGCCCTTTCACCCCCAGCAAGCTGAGGGTTATTTCTGGATACTAACCCCGTTCGTCTTGGAGGCGCCTTTCCCCAGCCCCACCCCCTACCCATGGCTTCCACTCTAACCCCAACCACTGAGACCCTCCAGGAGCCTGACAGCAGTGAACCGCCCACTCTCCCACCTCCGTCACCTCCAGTTTCCAGACCCAGAAGTCCCTCTACCTCCCTCTGTGGGAAAAGTCTGAAAGAATTCGCGTCCAGATCCCTTTAGTCCCTACTCCATTCCCTACTCCAGCCCCTTTGAATAGGAACAAGCAATATATCGGAATTGAATTGCTCTCCAGTCATTTCTTCAGACAAATCCTTCTTAAAGTGAAAGTCCTGCCTGGGCAGACATCCATGGAGACAGATCCGTAGCTTTGATCAAGAGCAGGAGGTTCTCAAAGGCTTTCTCCACAAATTCTGCCTCTGTGTCGTGAATCCAGTCCGCTTTCCATTAGAAAACTGCTTCGGCACTTGCGATCACTTTATTAAACCTAGTATTAAAAATAAAAAAGAAGAGAAAACGGAAAAAAAAGAAAGGTGTAGGCAAATGTAAGATACATGCTCTCTGTAAGATAAATATTTGCCTTTTTTTCTAAAAGGTGTATGTATTCTGTCTGTGAAATTGTCTGTAGAGAGTTTCTATGTTCTTAAATGGCAATACATTCCAAAAATCGTACTGTAGATATGTACAGCAACCACACTGGGATGGGGTAGTTTTGCCTGTAATTTTATTTAAACTCCAGTTTCTATTACTTGCATCTTGCAATGTCAGTATGGTATATATCAGTGCAAAAGAAAAGAAAACAAAACAAAATCAACAAAAATCCATGCAGGTCTAAAGCACAGAGTCTGACGTATACAAGGAAAAAAAGACGCTCAGTATTGATGTGTGTGACCTTTGTTGTAAATTATATCTGTACTGTGAATGAGAAGTTTTTACAAGTATAATAATTGCCTTTATTACAGCTCTGGCTGAGTGTTCAGCCTGAGGATATTTTTTAAAAAAAAAACAACAACAGCATGTTGGAATAAATTTGAAAATCCCAACATAGCCCTGCGTGCCTGGCTCACGGTTTTTCTTGAGAGCTGTAGAATGTCAGAGTTGCAGGGACACTTGGTGTCTCAAATGCTTGTTTTACTACAGAGCACTCAGGCCCAGAGAAGGGAAGTGACCAGACTACAGTCACACAGCCTAGGACTCATGACCCCTAGCTTCCGGGCCTGGAAGCCCCAGGTCCATCACCTCATGGTTTGGGGTCTATATTCATTTCCTAGGACTACCATAACAAATTATCACGAACTGGGTGGTTTAAAACAATAGAAACTTATTCTCTCATAGTTCTAGAGGCCAGAAGTCTGAAATTAAGGTGTGTCTGCCTGCAGGGTTGTCTCTGCCTCTGCCTTCATACTGCTCGCTTCCGCTTCCCGGTGTGTCCCTTTTCCCCTTCTCTTCTAAGAAAACTAGTCATTGGACATGGAGCCCACCCTAATCTGGGATGATCTCATCTCAAGGTCCTTAACTTCATTACATCTGCAAAGACACTTTTTTTTCCCCCCAAACAAACTCACACACATAGGTTCTGGGAATGAGGACGTGGACTAAATTTTGAGGGTCCTCCATCCAACTCACTACAGAGTAAGACACGGAATCAGATCATGGCGTGGCTACTTACTGCCTGTGTGGCCTTGGGCAAGTTACTCAACCTCTCTGGGCCTCCATTTCCTAATCTGTAAAGTGGAGGGTTGTTGTGAGCATTAAATAAGATGGTGCATACAGGGTGGCTAACAGAGGCTTGAACATATCCAGCCTTCAACAAATATCCTCTGAGCAGGCCTCCCATGGGGTCCTGGGGTTACAAGGATGAAAAAGACAGGCATGGGTCCCCACCTATTGTACTCAACAGTGATTTGCTGAACACCAGTGAGGGGCCAATCATCGGATACAACAGACAGTCCCGCCCTCAAAGAGTTTCTGTTCTAACAGGAGAGGCTGTCCTTAAGCAAATAATGACATCATTAATTACTCAATCTCAGGGGCCATAATTGCTGTGGCGGAGAGAACAAAAGCTCTAGTCCGGAGTGAGTCTGAGTCACCCTAGAGACCTTTCCTGGAAATCTCCTAAGGGTAGGTGGAGGAGGGGAAGCCAGGAGAAGCAGCCACTGAAGATGTTGATGAACAATCAGAAGGGGCCCTCCAAAGCGTGTTTTGTTCCACACCAGCAAGCAATTAATTCAATTCTGACACTATCCACCTGGAGACGGTACCAGATCCCACAGGCTGAGGTCTCAGTCCTACAAAACTACCCGCCCCACCCCCACTTCAGAAGCTAATTGCAGAGCCAGGTGGTCACTTGTGCTTCTGAAGGACCAGCTATAGATCAGAGAGGTTCCCATGACCCACTCCACTCCTTGAGTTCAATTAATTTGCTAGAGCAACTCACAGAACTCAAAGAAATATTTATTTACATTTACTAGTGTACTATAAAAGGATATAAGGATAAAAGGATTCCATGCTTTTCCTGAGCACATCACTCTCCCAGCACCTCCATGTGTTCACCAGCCCAAAGCTCTCTGAACTCCGTCTTTTTGGGTGTTTACAGAGCTTCATTACTTAGGCACGACTGATTAAATCATCAGCCATTGGTGACTGGCTGGCCCTCTAGCCTTTAGCTCCTCTTCCCCAACCCATGAAAATCAGGAGGGTGGGAAGTTCCCACCTTCTAATCACCTGATTGGTTCCCCTGGCAACCAGACCCCCCCCCTCAGGTTATGTAGGGGGCTTTTCAAAAGTCACTCGTTAACATAACAAAAGACACCTTTATGGATTAGGAAATTCCAAGGGTTTTAGGAGTGAGCTCTGTGCCAGAAACCTAGACAAAGACCAAACATATATTTTTTATTATAAATCACAGTATCACAGTCCTCAGAATAAAATGCTGCCTGGAAGTTTAGCACTAAGAACCTGTTTGTTTCAGCAACAAGGGTAACATTGCTGACTTGGGGAAAAGCTAGCCTAGCACAGTGCCTGGCTCCCAGTAGGCCCTCCCTAGATACTGCTGGGTGTTGAATAAGTGGAGGAGGCAGATGGGGGTGATGGAGGACTCATGAGAAGTTGAGAAAGTGGGACAGCAGATCCGGACACCTGCCCAGGGGCCTGGGCTGGAGGGTGGGGGAAAGCTGGGGCAGCAGCTGGAGGGAATCGTGGGGTCCGGAAAAGGAAGACTTGAGTGTGTTTGGTGGGGACTGGTGGGAAGGGGCTCGCCAGAGCCAAGCCCGCTTCATTACGAGGAGGTACAGACACCTCTCCAGCTAGGATTCAAAGGAAGGGGTCCAGGGGTAGTCAGTGTGTCTGCTGCTTCATGACAGGAAGCTGGCATTCCTGCAGAGGAATTTACTCTTTGAAATAGAGTGAGGTCACCTGCTAATCAGGAAGGAGGAAGCTGCTGGGGAAAAGATTGAAATCTTGAGCAGGTGTGAAAGACCTTTGAGAAAAGCAGGAGAAAGCCAACCAGGGAAAACAGAAGGCTCCCGGTGAGAGGGCTGGGTACCACAAAGAAGGTAGACCTCAAAGGGAAGGGTATTCCTCAGCAGCATGGACCCTAATGCAATCGCCTCCCACCTTGCAGCTCGGCTGCCCTGCTTGGCCCGGACTCTGCCCTTCCAGAAGGTCCACCCTTCTGCTCATCTATTTATTTCCTCCAGCAGTGCTCAGCAGCCATGCTGTGGGCATGGAGAAGGCAGACAGGTAGATTCATCCAGAGCGGGGGTTTGGGCAGGCCATAGGACAGAAGGACAGTAAGGTACGGGAGGTGAGAGTATTGGCAAATAAAGAGGTGAGGTCACCAACCACTGAATTCACCTGCTGAAAAAGAAGCAAACAGGGGCAGCTGATACAGAAAGAGGCCAGTGGTCAAGGGACAGGAGGTTTGAGTGAAAGGAGAGAAGAAATGGTTGTGAATTGTCTTAGCTCAGTATTCCAGAGATGGGACATCTATGGATGAAGCTGGTGTTGATCACAGGCATGGTTGCTGAGGTGGAGTGAAAAGAGAACATTCCTGGAGAGGGAGAGACCAGGAAGTGAGGGTCCAGGGTGGTGAGTGGGTTGTGTAGGTGGCAAGTGAGGTCACCTTTGATGATTTGAGGGCTTGGGTGGGGATCCCGGGCGGGAGGATGGGTAGAATCGGCCGGATTAGTGCTGAAAACCGGAGAAACCAAGCACCCAAGAACTTAAAGGGAAAAAGCCAAAAAACGTTTATTTTTTCCCTGGCCACATGTTCAGTGTAAGTCAGTAGGGGAATTCTACTAATCCTTGTCACTTGGAGACCCAGGCTGATGGAGGTTCCATCTTGAAGCTCCCATGACCTCAGAGACAGATAAAAAGAGAGCTGTGGTACCTTGCACTGACAGTGCTTCTAGTTGGGAGCAACAAACATCCCTCCAGTCACATTTCATTGGCCAAAGCAAGTCACATGGCCAGGCCCAGCAGAAGAGACCAGGAATATCTGAAACAGCCCCGATGATAATTACACAAGGTTAGGACTTCTCAGAATCAAAAGTGCTGAGGAGATAAGCAGACATCAGCCATGGGATGGGGAAGGGCAGCGCCTGATAGCATCAGCCTCAAAGGTGCTGGACTTCTATAGGCAGTGAAAGAAATCAATGGTCTGGAAGAGGCCCTGGAGAGCAAAACTGGCACCTGGCATTAGAAGGATGAGGAGCCACCAACAGAGCAGCTGCCTGGGAGCAAATCCTTGGGGCGGAGCCCAGGTCTCAGTCCAGTTCAGTGGAAAGTACAGTCCCAAACAGCCCCAGAAGAAGAGCATAGTATGTGCCGGGCCCTGTGTCTAGTATTTCACAAACCCGATGTGTAGTCCTTACAACAACCAAGGAAGAGGAGAATTACTGTCCCCATTTTTAGGGGAGAAAACAGCTTACAAAGGGCCCCCACAAGTCAAAGGTACACAGCTAGTTAGAGGCAGTGTGAGGACTGACCCTAGTCTGACTCCAATGCAGCTCTTCAGGGAACCCCCAGTTCCTTCCTTCTCCTCTCCGTCCTTCACTCTGGCCCCAGGGGAGCCCTGGGTTTCAAGCTACTGGCCTCCTTCTGCCCAGAGACCAAGGAGACAAGGCCAGCCCAGGCTGTGGCTCCTCCCAGCAGCTGCCTGGCATCTCAGCTGTGCCATCTGGCAGCCATGAGGGGTCCCCACTCCTGAGGCTGCAGGCACAAGGCCTGATCAGCAGTCACCAGGGCTTGGATTACTATACTTGAGAGCATGAAAACTGCATGTGAATGTTCTGCAGGACCAGCCACCTGCCTCCTCCCACCTGACACAGGGCCCAAGGTTCACACATCACTGCCTCCAGGCCTCCCACAGTGCTCTCTAGAGGTCATGAAGTACTTAGTTTTTGGAGTGAGGCAGGACTCCCCATTTTGCAGGCAAAAGGTAGAGCCTAAGATCACACGCTGGCAAGTGGCAGGGCCACAACCCCAGTTACACCTGACCCAGAGCCTCAGGAGGACTTGGGCTGCTGCCTGGCACTGAGGCCCTAGACGAGCTTTGCCTGGCTCCCAGTCCAGGGTCGAGCTGGGCCTTCAAGGCTGGGAAATCCCACCTTCACCCCTAGGCATGGACCCTCTCTGGGCTCAGGTCTTGGAGTCCACGCTCTGTCCTAGAGACTCCCAGGGCCAGGCCACTGTAGGCAGGACAGCCTCAGGAGGCAGGACAGCCTGAGATGGGCATAAGCAGAGAGAAAAAGGAAGACCTGAGTGTAAGGAGAAAACAGAAGGACTGAAGGGGGAGCAGACTGGGGCTGCATTGCATGGGGTCATCCTGGGCTCATGAGATCCTGGAGGAGAGGGGGTGCACTTATCACCTTTGTAGAGGACAAAGGCTGCGCTCAGACAGGTGAGGTTGCTCCCCGAGGTCAAATGGGAAGTGGCAAGGCTGGGATTTAAGACCGGGACCCTATATTCAGAAAATGGTTGGCTTTCTATGAAGACAGGATCTGGCCTCTTTGCTATGGAGCAGTCCTGCAGGCTGGGTCAGGGTT